ATGCGAGATAATGTGGGGGACATCATTGCTGCTACTGTCTTGTGCGTGAGGGGTGGAGATAACGTTGATGTTGCTGATGCTATTGCAGCCAAGCATGCCTTATAAATTGCTCTTGAAGCTTGTCTTACTAGAGTTGTGCTTGAAACAGATAATATCAAGGTCTACAGGAACCTGAAGAATAGTACAAGGGAGGCTACCTGCTTTGGGCTTATTATCAATGATATTCTTGATATGGCAAAGACTTATTCTGCTATTAAATTCTCTCATGTGGGCAGAACTGGTAATAGGGTGCCACATTGTCTTGCTAGCCTTAGCAAAAACTTAGATAGCTTACTTGTTTGGATTGAAGAAGCTCATATTGATGCTTTGAACCTTGTAATGGCTGACATTATATCTAATTAATAAAGCTTTCCTTTTGCTTTGTGTAAAAAAAAAAGTGAGGAATTATATGTGTGTCACTTTTTTATTATTATTATTATTATTATTATTATTATTATTATTATTATTATTATTATTATTATTATTATTATTATTATTATTATTATTTTCCCCTAAACGTTGTTAAATGTGTCAGGCTATTTTTATCGTGACGGTGGGGTGCTACGAGCATTTCTTAGCCTCTAAAAACTTGAGTCACTAATGACTCTAATAATATTTGTTGGTATAAAAACTTTAGTCATGATATTATCTTAATAGTTAATAATAACAAACCATTTTGTGTTAGTTGTTATTATTGAAGAAGCATTTTGGTACTTGTTAATACTATTTAAGAACAATTTTATACTTCCCTTTATTAAAAAAAAAGAACAATTTTATACTTTATCAAAAAAAAAAAAGAGAGAACAATTTTATACTAAAGTACATTATTAGAGTGATTAATGAGCAATTCCAAGTTTCTAAACTTGAGGGGTATTTTAGTCTTTTCCCGCATTGTGTTGGGGATGCAAACGTCTTTTATTTATGTTTGGCTTGCAAGACGTGCATCAACCGGGCGCTATTACTCTTGAATTCTTCAATGAAGTCGACGAAATCAATAGAGGAAGACAAACACCTACCATTTAGGAGTTAATCAAACCCTTAATTTATATATTATTCTTAGGGTCTTTGTTACGCTGTCGAAAATGGTAATGTTGAGGTTGGGGTTGGTTGTGTTGTTGGTGGTGTTAATCTGTTAGACATGACGTTTGTTGTGGTTGTTTGGGTTCGTCTGTCATTAATTATGAGAATGGAAGAAGGATGTTAAAGAAGGTTGAAGAAGATGGAAGGAAACAGTGGTTGATAATGAGTCAGCTAGTAAAAATATTTAAAAAAAAATTTAAAGTTGCTCAAAATTAAAACATTGACATTTTAGATACGGAATTCTTTACTCAAGTTGAGTAATTGGGAGATAGGGGTGAGCAAATCGGATACCCAGTCAAAATTTTAGACACCGGACCTGGAATTGGTTGGGATCGGGTCCTAAAATTTGAAATCGGAATTGAAATTGATTTAATCGGGCCCTAAAATTTAGAAATTGGATTCATTGGGTACCGATACCGGTTCCGGTTCCGATTCCGAGTACCATAAACTTGTGTGATGTTGTAACTTAAAAGTAATTGATTTTCAAAATAAACTGCAACGAGTAGCCGTAATAAATTACCAAAGAAAACGTAATTGAGATACAATACTCCATATTAGACGCGTGGAAAAACTATTTACCAAACTAAGCTTACAGGGTAAAACGCCATCTAGGGTGGCGTTTTTACCCCCTAACTGAAATGTTTTAAAAAAATTCTGCCTAGGGTAAAACGCCAACCTGGTTGGCGTTTTTACCTACAACATAAAACGCCAACCAGGTTGGCGTTTTTACCTTCAACATAAAACGTGGTTGGCGTTTTACCTGCAAGATACTACAGGCAACAGCCTGCTCCTGAAACCTGCAGGCTTCTTGCCAGCCTCTTGCCACTCCCACCACCAGTTCAACTACTGCCAACCACCACTTCCACCGCTACCATCCACCACTCCCAGCTAACATCAACCACCACAAACCGCCACTTCGTTCACCTACAACCAATAATTTAACAACCTTCATCCACTAGTTCCATAAAAATCATGAATGCGTACAGTAAAGTTGATATATGGAAAAAAAAAAATCAGTTAAAAAAATCCAATTATATTAATAATATTTGTTTATATACAACGTACCAGAGAATCCGATTACAACAAACTAACAAACGCAATTCTAAGATCCTGATTCATCTATTCGACCTAATTGCTCTCTATCAACTCGCGGTCTCCGACGACGAACGTAATGAGTTACAGTTCTGAAAGGATCTGGGGGAGGAGTCTGTTGGCTGGATGACGGTCCCTCCTGTGATAAGTATGGCGCAGACATGGGTACAGTGAAATCCTCTGGGATTTCACTAAACTGCGAGGATGTTGTAGGGGATGTGTGAGTCTGTTCCCTACTACTCTGGCCTACCTCACGGTGTGAATACTGTTAGGAGCCTCCACTGTACTGTTGCTGTGATTGGTCCTACCTCTGAATAAGATGACCATGACCATGTCTTTGTAAGCTAGTCACAGTCATCGCTTGAATTTCATCTATCTGCGGTATGGTGGGATATGATATGCTCGAGACTCCCAATGCATCATGTATAGCCAGCATATCAAACGCCTGCATAAGTCAACATCAGTCAATTTAATAATATCAGAAATTATAAATTGATAAAAAAAAAAATCCATCCAAAACTCATATATCCACTAATGTCTCCAAAAGCTGGCTAATATTGAGTTGAGGGTGGGGTGTAGTTAAGGTAAGTGAAGCGTCGGGTAATGCTCCTGTACCATACCATGTATGGATTGTGATACTCCATCCGGCATTGGAAAGGCGCACCATCCACGACGTGCTGCAACCGCTGATCCCACATGTCAATGAAAGGGGCATGTTGAACTGCCCAGCTTACGTCCCCTTTTCCTCGTCGGTCTGTCCTGTGCAAGTGGACACTCGTGTCACGCGTGGCAGGGACGGCCTGACGAAGGTCGAACTATCGCATGACTTTGTCGGGGAGGTGAGCCTCCACTACCTCAAAACAGATGAGGACTGTCATGGCACGCCACTCCATCTGATGATCATGAAGATATGGGGGCATGGCATCGACTAAGTCAGCGACGTACGGATCCCACGTCATCTGCATTAACGACTTGAAATTTGTTGGAGATGAGATCTTGTATGGATTCAACTCTCAAACATGGATCTTTCTGCACAAACGACTTCACATAGTCATAGATTATGGAGGAGTCCAAGTGTCGGTGATCGCTGGGCGGAACTTCATTCACGCAGTTCTCACGATGTGGGCCCTTGTAAGATACGATCTTAAAGGCATGTGTGTTCGGATTTGTTTTTGTACCACGTAGCGACCAACCACACTTCCTCTTGCATTTAAGATGAAGGACGTTCTCATTCGATGTCACCGTGGTGTAAAATTGATTTCGTTCTATATGGAATACAGTTTCACCATTTCCTGGAGCACTTTCTTACTATCGAAAATCATGCCCTTCTCAAATTCTCCCCCGACAACAAACGCAGTCTGGCTCCCCGAATCAGCCCAATACATGTCCACCTCATAGTTCTCGTTTATTTGAGTAAACCAAGGCAATGGAGTTCTAGCCACAACATCATCAACAGACAATTCGTTGTTTATAACATCTTCCTCATCTCCGCCCTCACCCTCGTTGTTTGTATCCTCATACATATCAAGAACAGACAATTCATTGTTTACAACAATTTCAGCAGTCACCAAAGTTTGAGATGGTGTTGCTTGAACATGTTCTTGCTTAGGAGAGTAACTGTGCAACTGCATTGGTGATGAAATGTCATTGTTTGAGATAGATGGACCAGGTTGCTGCAACATTGACACCGACGCCCCTTCATGTACAGGTGCAGTAAAATGTGAACTGAATGGAATGTCAAATTGCTCGTCGTGTAACATTCTAATGAAAGATCCCATTCCATATTCAAATGACGGAATATTGTATGAGGGCATTTGTAACAAGCTTGTATTGTATGAGGGAAGATATATAGGTTGTTGCTTTGTCAATTGAATAGTTTGTTGAGTACATATAGGCACCATTTCCACATACAAATAAGTGGGAAGAGACCTCATTACAACGACACCCCTCAAAACCTCCAAATGGTCATCATTCAAAACAGGTAAGATTTGAATCCCACTGACACTCTCAAACCTCATTTTAATGTTCAGTTCAACATTCGTTGGGTTTGAACTAGTTATAGTATAAACCTTCTTCAACAAATCATTGTAAGTCATACAAGGTTTCAATGCCAATGGCTCCATTTTTCCTCCTCTATACTCGACGTTCGATCCGACACACAAAATTTCACCCCCCAACAGCATAACAAAACAATCAATTGTGAAGCCATGTTCTACATAACAATCGGAACGCATATTAGATGACTTAAATACACAACACAACTAAAACCACAATGATTCCATTAAATCCTCAAGCTAAGCGTATATACAACATATTGTTCAACAATGTACTTATTTACCTAGTTAATCAACAATGTAGTATATATTTAAATGTACCTAATTCAACAAATTTTGTGTACAACAGTGCAAAGATAAAATCTGTCTAAAATATCTAATACTACATACTGCATAGAAGTTTGGCTTAAACTTGCTCATGCATAGACCACTGTAGTTAGTCATAAAAATAGTGTATTCAGCTTTTGTCATTACAGTCATAAGGTAGATGTAGTGCTCAGACAAACACAAGAGCAACCAATAACACATAAGAAAGCAACATCAAAGCAAATGGGCTAATACATGAATATAAACCACAACAAATTGTAAATTACAACAATATAGTACATACATTGTAAATTACAAACATAAATTCCCAAAAAAACATCAAACAAGTAAAATAGTAAAATTAAATACATACCTCAAATGCGATCAATTTACTGCGTAAAAGTGTTAAACAAAGAAGGAGGAATAATTTTTAGTGAGTATGATGAAAATCTAAGCAATGGGAAGTGATGAATTTGCTGCAAATATGGAGGATTGGCCAAGTACCATGCGCGGGTTAGGGTTTGGGAATTGGGGGTTTTTTTGTTTTTTTGAAAAACAATGAAAAAAATAGAAGTAAATTGTGAATTATATTCGATGCAAAAACGCCAACCAGGCTGGCGCTTTTAGTACAACGGTAAAACGCCAACCAGGCTAGTGTTTTTACCTTCAGTCAGGGTAAAAACGCCACCTGGATGGTGCTTTTGCTTTGACTGAAATTTTTTAAAAAAATTTGGGTTGGGTAAAAACGCCACCCTAAATAACGATTTACCCGAAAGCTTAGTTTAATATATAAGTTTGCCACCCCGGTAATTTTTACTCGTATTTATATGAACACCTTTCCTTCCTACCACTAATAGAGCAATTTGAACAAAAAACATGGCGACACCATACTTCAAAATCCCAACCAATTACTCTCACTACCTTTCTCTCCTTTCTTCTACCAGGAATTTGAGCTCCCTTCTCAGCATTCATGGCCGTTTGGTAGTTCTGGGTATGACCCATACCAATTCAATCCTTACCCATTTGATAAACACCTATTCTTCACTCCAAAAATGTGAATTTGCTAAGTTGGTTTTCGATTCTGTAACAAACCCAGATGTAAATTTGTGTAATTCCATGATTAGAGCATATTCAAGGTCTGATCAATTTGATAAAGCATTAGAATTGTATAGTAGAATGTTGGAAAGAGAATTAGTACCTGATAAATATACTTATACTTTTGTGCTTAAAGCTTGTGCTGGTAAATTTGACTTAAAAGAGGGTGTTAAGATTCATAATGATGTGATTAGGAGAAAATTGGAGTTGGATGTGTATATTTCAACAGGTTTGGTTGACATGTATTGTAAAATGGATCGACTTGATCGTGCACGGGAAGTGTTTGATAAAATGCCTAAGACAGATATTGTTTCTTGGAATGCTATGATTGCTGGACTTTCAAAGGATGGGGATCCTAATGAAGCATTGGGGTTTGTTCGGGCAATGCAACGAGTTGGGGTTGTGCCGAATTCTGTTACATTGCTGAATATGTTTCCTTGTGTTTGTAAATTAGAGAATGTTAGGTTATGTAGATTAATTCATGGCTTTGTGATCAGGAGAGGTTTTCCAACTAAAGTTTGCAATGGATTGATTGATATATACTCTAAATGTGGGTTTTTAGAATATGCTCGAACTGTTTTTGATCATTTGCGTGGTAGGGATCATGTGTCGTGGGGAACGATGATGGCTGGTTATGCTCATAATGGATATTTCTGTGAAGTCTTGGAGTTATTTGATGAGATAAAGGGTAAAAGTGCAGTGATGAATAAAATATCTGTTGTTAGTTCCTCTTTAGCTGCTTCTGAGTTGAGAGATTTAGAGAAAGGGAAGGAGGTTCATAATTGTGCAATGCAATATCATATTGACTCAGATACTATAGTTGCTACTTCTCTTATGACAATGTATGTAAAATGTGGAGAGTTTGGAAAAGCCAATCGAATTTTTAGGGCGCTCAAGGAAAAAGATTTGATTGCTTGGTCTGCTTTAGTTGCTGCATTTGTACAATGTGGGCTCCCTGTAGAAGCAGTATTGCTATTTCGTGAAATGGTGCATGAGAAGCTAAAACCAAGTAGTGTAACTCTGTTGAGCATCTTTCCAGCTTGCGCAGAACTTTCATCAGGGAAACCAGGAAAAAGCATTCACTGTTATTGTCTTAAAGCAGGTACTGATTCAGAAGTTGCGGTTGGGAATGGCCTAGTTTCAATGTACGCTAAGCAGGGGTTGTTCACTCAGGCTCTGGCCTTCTTTTATAGAATGCCGAGCAAAAACATAGTTTCCTATAATTCACTGATAAGTGGATATTCTCAGAGTGGCAACATATGTCAAGTGATGAAAATATTCATTGAATTACTAACTTCAGGGTTAAAACCTGATTTTGAAACAATGGTGAGTGTGATCCCATCTTGTGCACTTTCTCAAAATCTAAAACAAGGGACATGTGTTCATGGCCTAATTATAAAAGGTGGATTATCATCTGAGTGTCATGTAAAGAATGCTTTGATTGACATGTATGGCAAGTGCAACAGGCTATGTTCAGCTGAGAAGTTATTTAATGAAATGGACTCCATCAAAGACGAGGTTACTTGGAATGCCATAATTTCCAGTTATGTGCATAACAGGAAGTCCAAAGAAGCTCTTTATGCCTTTTGTCGGATGAAATCTGAAGGACTACAGCCTTCTGCAGTTTCTATGGTAAGTGTCCTTCCTGCAGCAGCAGATCTAACTGCTCTCCCAGAAGGTATGGTACTTCATGCCTGTACAACAAAAATGGGGTTTCAGTCCAATACACACATTAGTAATAGTCTTATTGATATGTATGCCAAATGCGGACACTTTGATTGTTCAGAGAAATTATTTGATGAGATGAAAAACAAGGATACAGTAACATGGAATACAATGCTTGCTGGGTATGCCGTTCATGGGCATGCAGCTCGTGCTGTTGAACTTTTTTCACAGATGCAATGTGATAATGTGATGGTTGACTCAGTGACTTTTCTGAGTGTCCTGTCAGCATGCAGACATGGTGGTTTGTTAGAAGAAGCAAGAAGAATATTCAATTCCATGCATGAAAAGTTCCATCTTGAACCCAACTTGGAGCACTATGCTTGCATGGTTGATTTGTTGGGCCGTGGTGGTCTATTTAGTGAAATAACAAACCTCCTGAATCAAATGCCAGTCGAACCTGATGCTGCTGTTTGGGGAGCTTTATTGGGCGCATGTAGAATGCATTCTAATTCAGACTTCGCAGAAATGGCATTGAACAAGTTAGTGGAACTTGAGCCTGGAAACCCAGCACATTTTATTGGTTTATCAAATATTTATGCTCAATCTGGTAGGTGGGTTGAGGCTAAAAATATGAGGTTGAAACAAAGTGATGCTGGGCTCAAGAAAATTGCGGGATGCAGTTGGGTTTAGGTCAAGAAAACTTTTAGATTTCAGAAAGATACTTGAAGCTGGTAGCTCTGAGCCTCTGATGAGAGCATGTAACAGAATTTTGTGGTTACTTCCACACCAATCTGTGAGAAAGTGAGCTCTACACATTTCTTTATGCACTCACAGAAGAAGATTGGCCGTGACTTTGCTCACCAAGGACCAAAACCATGTAATGGCAGTATTAATAATTTTTAATTGCTGGTAATTGATCATACTTTTTAGTCATTTTTGCTGATGTTTGCATTTAATCTGCTACTATGATACAGTGTTCAGATATGTATTATTACAAGGAGAAGACAGCAGGAATTGCAGCCTATTATAAAACACGAAGATATAACAGGTAATCCTCATTTTATAACCTTCCCATATTCAAGTTTATTTTGTAGATTGCGGAAATCATGACATTGCTCAAAGGTCTGATTTGGGGATGGAGGGGAATGAGGGGGATTAGTTATACCTAGGACAGTACCATTTCATCTCATAACTTATGGTTGTAGGACACCTAATTTGAGTCTTCCTTTGCTTAAGCTTCACTTTGCATACATAAGAAGATAGGCTTTGGCTTGATTCTTCTTTAGAATGGTGAGATGATAATCCATTGATACAAGCAAGATGCTTCAAAAATACGGATGGTTTACTTAATATAGTTAAATCCATAAATCCCATTAGGTACACTGATAAAAGTGTTTGCAGCTTACCCCTTCTAATTTTAAACAATAAAAAATTCATTTGCAAGCAGGCGCTCAACCCAAAAGGTTGGGGGGTTGCTGTCGGCCTACGAATGTGGTTTTGATCCTTTCGGTGATGCCAGGGCCGGCCTATATTTAAATGAGAATGTCGTGTCTATAGATAGTCTATTGTTATTTGATCGGAAGGTCTCACACTATTAGCTAGGATGCCTAACTTAACTTCCCATTCACCATTTATAGTTGCTTCTATTTGTCTAAGTCACTTCCTTTTTTGTCCAAGTCATTGGGGGCGATCTTAATGGACATGTGGGCATTAGGAGGGATGGCTTTGAAAGTATTCATGGACGTTTTGGTTATGGATATAGGAATGAAGTGTGAAACGATATCTTGGATTTTGCATTGGCATAGTTTTTAAGTATCATGAACACATGGTTTGAAAAAAGGACCTCTCACCTAGTGACTTATAGGAGTTGGGGCAATGCAAGTCAAATTGATTTCTTCTTGGTAAGGAATGCTTAGAGAAAGAGTTACGTTGATTGTAAGGTGATCCATGGGGAGAGTACAATAACTCAACATAGACTTGTGGTGCTTGATTTTTGAGGTCGTAGATATGTAAGGAAGCGAAGACCACAAGTGAAGCCTAGGATCAAGTGGTGGAAACTTCAAGGGGAGAACCAACAAAAAATTGTAAGAAAGATGGAGGATGTAGGAATTTGGTCTGGTACCATTGATTTGGATGTAGATGCAATGTGGAGTAAAATGGAGCATAACATAAAGGAAGGGGTGAAAGAAATCCTAGGAGAATCCAAAGGAAGCATGCCACCGAGTAAGGACACATCTTGGTGGAATGTAGAAGTGCAACAGGCGATAAAGAACAAACGAGATTGCTATAAGATGTTGGGGATATGCAGAAGTGATGAAAATTATGAGAAGTATAAAGAAGCTAGAAAAGAAGCGAAGAAAGTTATAAGGGAGGCGAGAATGAAAGTCAACCGAGACCTTTATGCAAGCTTGGATACAAAGGAAGGAGAAACAGGCATCTATAGGCTTACTCGTATTAGAGATCGGAAGACGTGGGATATTGGAAAGGTTAAATGTGTGAAGGATATTGACCAAAGAGTTCTTGTTGGAGATAAAGGATAGATAGAGGTCTTACTTTGATAGTCTATTCAATGGAGATCTAACTCGAGATATTGGTGATACGTGTCCCTCATGATATGGTTAATCAGGAGTTTATGTTCAGGATTCAAAGGAAGAAGTCAAAATGGCACTAAAAAAGATGGGATTGAAGAAAGCGGTTGGACCTGATAGCATTCCTATTGACGCTTGGAGATGTTTGGGAGAAAGAAGAATTGAATGGTTGACTTTTTCAACAAGATTTGAGGATGTAATAAGAAGCCTTTTGTGTAGAGGAGAATTACTTTGATACCTTTGTATAAGAACAAAGGTGATGTCCAAGATTGTGCTAACTACTGAGGGATCAAACTAATTTGTCATACTATGAAATTTTAGGAGCGAGTGATAGAACAAAGGTTAAGGAGAAGTGTGAAGATCTCGGAAAACCAATTTGGATTGAAGATCGATTGTAGCAATCCATCTTATGAGACAACTAATGGAGATCTATCGGGATAAGAAGAAGGATTTACATATGGTTTTTATTGATTTGGAAAAGGCTTATGATAAGGTACCAAGGGAGATTCTTTGTTGGGCTTTAACAAGGATATACGTTTCACGGAAATATATTGACATCATTAAGGACATGTATGAGGGAGCTAGCACAAGTGTGCGGACCTTTTCTTTTTGCTATAGTCATGGATGAATTGACGAGTCCAATTCAAGATGATATACCATGGTGCATGATGTTTGCTGATGATATTGTGTTGATTGATGAGAAGAAAGAAGGCATGGAAAGTAAGGTGAGTAGAAGTAAGACGGAGTATTTGGAATGTAAGTTTAGCGATGCGAGAAACAATGAGGCAGAGGTGATCACCTTGGATGGGAAGAGTGTTCAAAGTTTTGAGGACTTCTGATATCTGGGATCTATTATTCAAAAGGATGGAGATGTAGCTCATAGGATCGAAGCGGGGTTGTTGAAGTGGAAGAGGGCGACGAGTTTTTTATGTGATCCAGCATATCCCATAGATTAAAGGGAAAATTCTACCGAATGACAATAGGGCCTGCTTTGTTATATGGTACAGAATGTTTGGCTGTAAAGTATTGCCACGTGCATAAGATTAATGTGGCGGAGATGAGCATGTTACGATGGATGTGTAGTCAGACAAGAAAGGATCGGTTAAGGAATGAGATAATAAGGAAGGAAGTAGGGTTACATTGAGTACAAGATGAGGGAGAATCGCTTAAGATGGTTTGGCCATGTAAAAAGGAGACCCAGTAACGCTCTGATAAGGAAGCATGAAGAATTGCAAAGTGTTGGGATCGCGAGACGTAGGGGAAGACTTAAGAAAACTTGGAAGAGGGTGAAGGAGAGTGACATGAGTGCTTTGGGGATTGAGGAGAATATGGTGTTGATAGGGTGGTGTGGAGGGAGAAAATTCACGTCAACAACGTAAATTGATTATATATACTTTTTAATTCATTTTCGTTTTTAATTTTATTTTTAGCCCACCAATGTTTTATGAAATGTTTTCCTCTGCTAAAGCTTTCTCAAATCTCATGTTTTCAACTTCAACGTTTTAACCACTCTTTTAAAACATTCTTGAATTTTATTCTTCATTTTTTTTTTTTTTTAACAAACTCTCTTAATTTTTCTTAAATGCTCCTTCGTTTACTCACTTTACTCACCTTTTTTCAAACACTTTTAAATGATGGTTTTGTTATGTTTGTTTCTTCATATTGTGCGATTCCTTATGAAGATTCATGTTAGGCGACCCTAAATCATTTTGGGACTAAGGCTTTGTTGTTGTTTTTTGTATTCTTTTTTTCTTTGTGAGTTTCGTAATGAAGGTTCTACTTCTTAAGAAATTGCAATTTTCGATGAGTTTCATTTCCTTGGTGTTGGAGATAACAATGGGTAATAGGATCAAATTTATGAGAAAAAATATAGAAAATTATATATATAGAGAATGCTCTTTTAAACATGTTTATTAAATTGTGTTAAATACTTTTTATGTATTTATTATTATTATAAATGTATATTTTTTCTTTACATTATATTTGGCTTAAAAAGATAAAATAAGAGAGATAGAGAAATCTTGAGAGATATGCTTTACAATAAATTTAGTTCTTACTATCTCTATCATTAGTGTTTGCTTATTGTTCTTAGCCTAAGATTATTATTGTTTGGGCCTAGTCCATGTCCTAAGCCCATTATATTTGAAATGACAAAAATACCCCTCCATAATCCAGCTCATCATACTTAATCATTCGTTAATCATTACAAAGTACAAATTTACCTCTAATCTGTCCAATAAATTACATATTTGCAACCTGAAAGTACATCTATAAATAGCAAGACAATGATTATTATTGATGGTAATTTTTTCTAATTTGTCTTTCTCTCTCTAGAAAGTACATTCACTGACGCACCCTAAATACCCTAAGTACTTTTTCTTCTAGAAATCAATGGGCGTGAGATCGAGTACATTTGGACATTAGACATTGGACATACCCTAAATACCCTTACACACCGAGAAACATTTACATTAAAAAAGCATTAGAATAAACCTATTGATTTCGAGAAAGAGGGATTAGATAAATAACTTAAATTATTTCAACAAAAAGTCCCCCACTTTCTGTATCATTGGCAATCCACACCTTTCATCTTCCCAACTACATCTACCATCTATGTATACCTATGTCTATTTAGTAGTCACTCGGGGAGTAATCCTTTTCCACCTTGTGTCTTTATCCACCCAACTTTAAGGTTTTCATGTCAGTTCATGATGTTGATCTATGTGATGTTTTCAACATGGACCAAATAGTAGCTTAACTAAATGTTCCCCTCCATGCACTCTCTCCTAGAGTTAGTAAATGATGTAATAGTTAAAAGAAAAAGTTAAGTCTTGGTGGAACATGGAGAAGAAGAACCACTTAATATCACGACATTCTCATTCAATTACATATAACAGAAGTACCTACACATAGGCTTACGGATGAAACTAAGTTGCACTTAAATAGCAACCAACAAACTAAGTGGATAAACATTATCCCACATCTTACTCCACTAATACAACTAATTAGGTACATATTCATTATTTAGCTACCTTTTTTTTTTTCAAGGGAAATTAGCTTAATCAAAATTAAACATAGGAAAAATTGTAAGGAACTACTCATTTTTAACAGTTGAATTTGTGAACAACTACTCGCTAAAAAGTTTAATAAAAAAAACTACCCCAAATTTAAAAAGTTTGGGTATCACTACCCTTTTTCATTTTCCGGCAACCAATTCCGGCGAGTAGAGCCCATATGTTATTTCCCAAAAAAAAAAAAAAAAAAAAAAACATCCTCACCCTCGTATATATCAACCAACCTACCTCTCCTTTGCAAAAACTTAATCCAAAAAATCAAATCTTTGTTATAACCAAGTCGTTTTTTTTTTTTTTGGAACTCAATTTAAAATGTATCAAACAGTTAATACCACCTTTATTGGCTCCTAATCTTTTGATTTTACTTGGATTATAGTATTCACCACCTTTATTGGCTCCTAATCTTTTGATTTTACCATTTGTTTGCAATTGAACTTCATTTTTGTAGATTTTAAATTTATCGATCAAGGCCTTCATCCTTAAAATGTAATAAATAAACATAGCAAAATCTTGAAAAATCATCAATGAAAGTTGCTAAATACTTTTTGTTGCCTAAGGAAGGTGTGCTATGAAAATCACATAGATCACTATGCACTAAATCAAGCAATGAATTATTTTTGTCTTCTAACATTCGGAAATGGTTTCCTTGTGATTTTGTTAACATGCATGTCCTACACTTCTCTATCCTTGGATCAAAAGACGGAATTAAATCATGTTTTGACATAATATACAAATTTTTTATAATTAACATGTCTAAAGTCTTACATGCCATATAGAAAAGCAATCATTAACAACATACAAATTGTCTTTCAAAGTATTAGAAATACTAAGCTTAAATATTCCATCACATAAATACCAAGTCCTACAAATAAACCACCTTTAGACAATATAAATTACCCGACACAAACACCATTTTAAATCCTAAACGATTCAAGATAACACTGGACACAAAATTGCTCCTAAACTCGGGAGCATACAATACATCCCTTAAAATAAGAGATTTGTCGAGCTAAACATTAACTCTACTTGTCCCTTGCCTAGTACTTTTGCGGTGGAATCGTTCCCGTGTAAAGAATCTCTCCATGGTCACCTCAATGAAGGATTTAAACAACAAACGATCTTTGCAAACATGCCTCGATGCTCTCGAATCAATGTACCAAGAAGTTTCACCCTTGCTTGTCTTGGATCGGCTTGACCCGCCTTTCCCACCTTAGAGCCATTTTGTTGTTCATCTTTTTCTTCCAAATGGTACAATCCTTTTTAACATGATCGAGTTTTCCACAGACCCAACAAGCTCGTGATATTTGACCATCATTTCCCACTTTAGGCATTTTGCCTTTATTTTTGTTTAAATCATTTCCTCTCTTCCTCTCATTAGACTTAGCACATTAACCGTGATGGAACTAGGATTAACATTCCTTTGTCCTTCTTGAACTCAGATTTCTTCTTCAATCCAAATGTGAGAAGTCAAGCCCTCAAGATTTATATCATTTTTTTTATGCTTTGAAGCATTTCTAAAATCTTTCCAAGAGGATGGTAGTTTATCAATTATAGAAGAAATAATAAAGGTCTCATCAAGATTGATATTGTGTTGCCTAAAACTCCCTAAAATTCTTTGAATTTCATGAAATTGTTCCATAACCACCTACTATTAATCATTTTCAAATAATTGAATTTACTAACAAGAAATTTCTTGTTAGATGCATCCTTGGCCATATACTTAGACTCTAGTTCATCCCAAATCAATTTAGCGGACTCATGGAATTGATAAACATCAAACAATTCATAAGACATACCATTAGAATGTGACCACGACATATGTAGTCATCATTCTCCCAATTGTTCCTTTTTCTAGTGGCATCCAACATCTCTTTGTCCTACTTCGAAGGCTTCGGGGATGTGAGAACATAAGCTACAATGAGCGATGTCAACAAAAAATGCATCTTCTTTTGCCACCTTCGAAAATCCGCACCCTCAATTTCTGGAAATTAGTCATCATTTCTTTCACACTTGTCATTATTGTAGTAAATTATTTTTTTGGATTGTTGGGGATTTTCTAGTAGTAACATGGGTCACAAAGAAATGGAGGCGTGAACGAAATCACTTTCCTAAAAGTATAATTCCGGCCCTATACTACAATCGGGTATCACGGAATTCACTTAGGAGATACAACAAAGGTCAATTACAATTACAAGTAGGATGATTGCAATACAATGTAAATAAGTGTATGAGATTTGTGATGATGAACAATAAAAAGCAAAAGGTTCTTAACTGATTTTCTAGAACATATGATTTCATCTATATATAGATCAAAATGACCAAGCATAAAACTGAAGAACACCGTCAAAGGTTGCCCAACCAACAACCGCGCTCGACTGGGCACGGACATGCCCGACCGAGTGAGCGAGATCTAGCAACCCCGATTAATCTAGGTGCTCTCACGCCCTGCCGAGTTGTGCCCGGCCAAGCGGGTGGTGAAGCTATGTTAAAATCCTGCCGATCTTTGTGAAAACCAAATCTTCGTGAAAATCGCCACTTGAAGAAGGAAAAACGATTTGGTTTTCATAAAGATTTGGTTTTTTTGGATTGAGTTTTTCTAAAACCAAATCGTTTTTCTTTCTTCCATTGGCGATTTTCACAAAGATTTGGTTTTCACAAAGACCAGGCGGAGGCGAAGGATTTTGACGCTGCTTCACCGTTCGGTCGGGCGGGCACAACTCGACAAGGTGCGAGAGCACCCAGATTAATCTGGGTTGCTGGATCTCGCTCGCTCGGTCAGTCGTGTTCCTGCCCAACTGGGCGCGGGTGTTGGTTCGGCAACCTTTAATGGTTTGCTTCGGTTTTATGCTTGGTCATATGGGCTAAAACAAGCACCTAAGCAATGACATCAAAAGTTTGATGAGGTTGGGTTGTCTAATGGTTTCAAGTGGAACAATTCAGACAAGTGTATATATATATAGCAAAGTTGATGACAACGGTCAAGGTGTCATAATTTGTCTATATGTGGATGACATGCTGATATTTGGAACGGATTTGTCACAAGTTAGAATGACAAAATCATTTCTTAGTTTTCGGTTTTCCATGAAAGACATAGGAGAAGCGGATGTCATCTAGGGCATTAGAATAAAGAGGGAAAAAGAAAAAAAATGGTTTTGTCACAATCTCATTACATTGAGAAAGTACTCAAGAAATTCAATGTTAGTGATGATTCGACCTCTCTTTAATGAACACCTATGGATCCTAGCGTAAAGTTGATACATAATGAAGGCAATGCAGTTTCACAACTTGAATATGCTACAGTAATAGGTTGTTTGATGAATGCCATGACAAATACTAGGCTGGATATTGCTTATACAGTTGGTAAACTAAGGAGGTAAACTAGTAAAGTAGTAATCCTAGTATGCTACATTGGCAAGCGGTTCGACGCTTATTGAAGTACTTGAAGAAAACCATGGATTATGGTTTATCTTATAGTGAATATCCCTCGGTTGTAGAAGGATATTCGGATGCAAGTTGGATCTCTAATAAAGACCATTCCTCCCACAGGTGAATGGGTTTTCCTATATGAGGGAGGTGTTGAGAAGCAAACTTGCATTGCGGACTCCACAATGACATCGGAGTTCATTGCTTTACATTCGGCCGGTAAAGAAGTCGTATGGTTGAAAGATCTCATATTTGAGATACCTTTGTTGCCAAAAACAATTTCACTAGTATTGATACATTGTGATAACAATGCTACTTTGGCAAGGGCATATAGCCAAGTTAATATTGGTAAGTCAAGACACATTGGAGTACGACATAATTACATTCAAGGACTTAGCAAGGATAGTGTGATCACTATTGATTACATTCGAACAAATCTTAGTCTCACCGATTGTTTCACAAAGGCATTGACAAGAAATGTTAACAATGGGATGACAATCAGTTTAGGATTGGAGCCCTAGATAATTACAAATTAGGGAGTCTTAACTTAACGCCCAATAAGACGTTAGGTCTTAAGTTCAATTAGATAAACTTTCTCATTTGCTAATTAGGAACTTGTATATTCATCCAAGGTAAAGTTTCGGATTTTTTGTGATGTTAAGAGGTTGTTTAACTTAATAGAATTCCTGACATTGTGCTTTGTTACAGGAGCATGTTTTGGAAATCTACCTATATAAGTACGAAGTTTAGCCGCTTCAAAAAATTATTATGGGCATAGCTTTGATGTACTTATGAATAGATATGGATATGTATTTAAGCATTTAATCTTGGGAAGTATTTAATCTTGTGTGTGTAATATCTTCAAGTATCCAATATGTATTACTGTTGGTTCAAACATTTTACGATACCGAATAGTCTTTGTACACTTTCATTTATGCATAAGGTTGTTTTTTTTGGTGATGATGTTTTGCAATGAGTAATTTAACACTCTAAAAGGGGGAGGATTGTTGAATAATTTAGAGTAGTGGTGACAATATTCATGTTGTTTGATTGATTTACTTAGGGTAAGGTATTGTGAATTGATTAAACAAGTATTAGAGCAAAGATAATCTCGATTTAAAGAAAAAGCAAACTGCCAGTCAAGGCTGTGCACGCCCGACTGGGCGCGAGTGCAAGCATGAAGGTTTCTGGTCTGCCGCCGGGCGGGCATGAGAGCAAAGAAGAATTTTGTTGGGCGATTGCCCATTCGGGCCACCACTGCCCAGGCAGGCGTGAGCGCGAAGGATTTTGACGCAGCTTCACTGCCCGACAAGGCGCGAGAGCACCCAGATTAATCTAGGTTGGTGGATCTCGCTCGCTTGGTCGGAATTGTCCTTGCTCGGTCGGGAGCAGGTGTTGGATGGGCAACCTTTGATGGTTTTCTTCGGTTTTATGCTTGGTTATTTTGGTCTATATATATTATACATATATGATGAAATCATATGTTCAAGAAAACAGTTTTAATTCTCTTGAGAGAACCTTTTGCATTTTATTGTTCATCATCACAAAGCTCATACACTTAATTACATTGTATTGCAATTATCCTACTTGTGATTGTAATTGGCCTTCGTTGTATCTCCTAAGTGACTTCCGTGATACCCGGTTGTAGTATAGGGTCGGAATTATACTTTTGGGAAAGTGATTCCGTTCACGCCTCAAAGTTTATTTTCTGAATTTTTCATTTCCATTTCTTTGTGACCCTTGTTACTACTAGAAAATCTCCAACAGATAAAAGGATGGAAAATTTTCTAATTTTAGAGATTAGAGGGACCTCTGTTGGTCATGCTCAATATATCATTTTCTTTGTCTTGCAGTTCTGTTGTCAGGTGTTATAATGTAATTTCTTTATAGTAGTTATAGTTCTGCATATATCACTGAGAGCTTGCTAGTTAGGCACTTAGGCAGTTAGACTCCAATTGTTGGAGTGAAGGATGAGCACAGGTTTGATTTGCTGCTCAGTGATTTCTGGTTATTGGTGCAGTTGTAAGGGTAGATATAATTTTGCTTTTTCTTCTTCCTTGCTGCAGTCCGTAATCTGATTGTCCTCGAATATTAAAACACCATTTGGCATTTCTAAGCTCATTCTCATGAGTAATTTAACATCCCTTTTTTCCTGATCATTGCAGTTGTATGATATTACCATTTATGCTGAACAGCAGCCAACAATAATGGAGTGTCTTATCAGTTTTTCAGAAAGTATGATTAAAACATCAGTGAGTTGGCTGTTACTGCGTCAATAATGCTGCAAGCATGAAGCACATCCGCAGCAAATTTTTGCATAAGCTTTGGGAGTATTCTGTCTGTAGTGCCATAGTTTGTCAATCTATTATTGCATTTGATGCTAAAAAAATGTACATGCTTGAAAATACAGATGGAAAGGATGACTCTATAAAAGCAAGAAGCTGTTTGGACAGGATTGCTCTGAAAGTTTTTTTTTATTTTTATTTATTATACAACAGTTTGCTCTGAAAGTTGATATGATATAAGTGATGTTTATGTATCCATATATGTTGAGAAGGAAAACAATTGGCATGTATTGGTATGGGACTTTTAGATGTCAGTTTTTCTCCAAATGATGTAATGGAAAAAAAAGTTGATTTTGTAAAGGATTTATGAAGAATGATGAATCTATTGTTTATATATGCAGAAGTACATATTATTTATTTATTTACTTATAAGTTTAATTATTTTTGCCTATTGGATATCAAAAGTTTATAAAGCATAGGATTGTGTAGGCATGAGTCATATGATCAGATCAATAAAAAAAAACATTTAGAGCATAGAGCACCTTAAAAATCTCAAATACATATACTCCATAATATTTTGGGAAATTCTTTTTGGTAACACTGTAGTTTTTAATTTTCTCAGTGGTAAACTACGAAAATTCTTATTATTCTTGGTAATTTTGAATTTTTTATATTAAGCTAACCATAACATTAATGATAAATTGTAGTTAAATACCTAACTATAGTTAGTTTATTTATTTATTTATTGATATTTTTTTACTTTAAAAAAATAGAAATAACGTTTTTTAAACAAAAAAAAAAAGCCACCCCTTCCCCCTCCGGCCAGCCACTACTCTACGCCTCCACCCACGCTAACGCCCAGCCTCTCTGTCGCTGGCGCGCCGGGCTCCCCTCCCCCTGAACTGGCAGCAGCCACCACTGCCCACCACTGGCCTTGACCGAATCCCCTTCCCCAAACAATCCCTTAAAATTTCCCCAATTTGAACCTCCATAACTCAGCTCCGCAATTTCAACCTTCACCTTCACCTTTAATTTCGCCGGAATCTTTTTTCAACCTTCACCTTCATCTCCTCCCTCTCTAGGCTGCAACACTAACCTCGGCAAAACCCTAATTTTCGCAGGAATTGCTTCTTTTGCCCTTGAATCCCAAAACCCATCTTAATTTTACTACATTATATTAAGCTTGTTCAAACAAATTTGCAAGAAAAGAGGCTGTTTTGTAGGACTTTATGTGCGTGAAATGAGGTGAGTTCGTCACATTTGGCGTTTAGGGTGGCAGGGAATAGGAGAAGGGGGCGTTTTCAGGGAAGGGGAAGGCAGAGGGGTCGGATTTTGATGGGGGAGTGAGGATGGATAGGAATCGGGGTGGGGGAGTGGGAGAGGGGAGATGGGAATCGGGGGTGAGGGAGGGTTGGGGGTCGCCGAAAGGAAAGTAGGGGTAGGCAATCGCCGGAGCTTGTCGCCGCAGGCTGGGGTGGGGGCCAGGTAGAGGTGTTCACCGTGCGAGCTGGGTTAGGGTTAGGTGGGTCGCGGGTTGGGGTTTCATGACACACGACACGACACATGTAGGGTAGGGTGGGCCGGGTCGTGGGTTGGGTCGGAGAAGTTGGACACACCAGGGTTATATTCGTGGGTTAAACGGGTCGTGGGTGGGTCGAGCTGGGTTCGTGGGTTAGACGGGTCGTGAGTGGGTCAAGTTGGGTTCGTGGGTTAGGGTAGGTCGAGGTGGGTTAGTGGGTTAGGGTGGGTCGAAGGGTGGGTTAGTGGTTAGGTGGGTTTGGGTTGAGCTGGGTTCATGTGTTAGGGTCGGGGGGGTTCGTGGGTTAGGGTCGGGTGGGCCAAATGGCTAAATGGGTTGTGTGGTGTTTTAACTTTTACAAAATTAACAAATTGATGGCTTGCTCAGTTGCTCTTAATTAGGATGCCTACATATCCTTATATCATAAAATAAGGAATCAAAGCCAACGTAGTTCTTGTATTGTACTTCTTTTGGAATTTGGGGGGAGGGGGGGCTTGGACCTATCTTTAGCAAACTAAAATTTAATTTTGCAATTAAATTGTAATTTTCGAAAAATAAGTTGCCTACGTATCCCAAAAGAATCAAAGCCCACGTAGTTCTTAGCATACCTGATTTAGACTTTTCTAGCCACCCATGTTTGTTGCATCATCATCCTTGGAAGCTGCATCATCCGTTGACGACTCCAATATCATCACAGGATCATCTTCATTGTCTTCGTCTTCCTTTAAACCTTGAGTTCTTCTTTCAGCTTGATCCCAATCTTTCTTACAAACACAAATTTGAATGCTTTCCGGAGTTAAGCGAGATCATTTTTCATCTAACACTCTTCTACCTGCACTAAAAGCAGACTCAGAAGCAATAGATGAAGCGGGAACTGCAAGTATATCTTTTGCAATTCTCGCCAATATAGGAAAACTTTTTTGATGTTCTTGCCACCATTTTATAATTTGAAAGTTATTGTTGGTCTCATGTTGATATGACCAATAATGATTAATAGCAAGTGTTGAAGAAGATGATGATGAGAATGATGTAGATGCTTTGTTTTTTTTTCATAACTTTATCGAGAAAACCAAATCTAGAATCAGAAGTGCTAGTAGTAGTTGGTGTTGCTAAATCAAAACCATAAATAGATGCATAATGATCATAAGGTCTCCCAAAACAGATTCGCATTTGTTAATATATTCACTAACATCATAATCGATACTTAAATTTGTATAATAAAATTCTAATAGATTTTCCAAACCTTTAGCTTTGACACCGGGGTCAAGAATAGTAGCAATTCCATAAATAATTGGAAATTCACTAAAATAAGTATGCCACTTACGTTTCATGCTATCAAGAACGTGTAACACCCCAATAATTCTCTCTTAAAAACCTGTAAATACCTTTATCAATTTGTAAGAGAATTACTGATGTGCTACCGTCACGTGTTCAAACGTTAAGGCTAGTTCAGAATTTAGCAACGGAAAAACTAACTCAGTTATCAATAAGTTTCAAAACCAAATTTAGTCTTACAAGTTGGAACCATTAAGGCCCTTATTCAAAACCCAATAAAAGTAGTAAATAAATCAACCAGTAAATTAAATCCAAACTTACGAAATGAAATAAACTGTGGAAATATCCAATACTCCACTCAAAATCCCACCACCTTGATGCAGGTTCTGATTATGTATAAACCTGTGATTAATCTGCTCCCCAATATTACAAGTGTAAAAATTGGATCATTACAGGGTTATTAAAAAGGCGAAGGCCATGACCAAGAAAAAGACACACAAAAGCACGCAATCAGCAACGGTGAGTACATACAAGCTATAAAATATATCAAAGAGTCCCTAGCATGTTACTAAAAATAAATCAGCACACACAATTTAATTATTGACTCTAACACATGCCTCAACTATTAACATTACTAAGACTTCACTAATTACTAACAATAATTCATTTCATTTAATTCATTGATTGGATTAAGCAATAAACCAGGTTGTCCCCCTGTGCTCCATTTCGGAACATTAATAAAAGAAAAACCCTATGCCTCCTTTCGGAAACATTAATAAACAATCCAAGGGCAGACGGGCGCAACTCTGTGGCCATAGCTAGTATGAGATCTCATCTAACTCCTTATAATTTAAAGAAAAACATTTGTAAACGAGAGACTCGTAGATCAGACGGCCTCTAGAAAGTACACGGCTAATACCCCGTGAACCCCAACCCTTGATTGTCAATACTCTAGATGTGCACAAATCCAGAGTTTTATTGCTCATCCATCTTGTACTTTACGTGATTTACAAGTTTAAACTTGGTGATGACTCAAGTGCAAAACAACACACCTAATCATACAACAATCATTCAAACAATTCAAATTTCTAATTCAATTCTTGATTTATTAGTGACAAACAATATTTAGTATTGAATCCTTTAACTATCTCGGTGTACAAACACTTTTAGTGCATAAGGCACCTCAAATCCTCGACCTCGTCTTATAAGACTTTAATTCTCCCTTTACTCATTCCATTTCAATAAACGTGAACGAGTATTAAAATAATTCATTCCACATATTCACGTACCTTTGCCTCTAAGCTAATCTTGCATGTTAATGCATAAATAATACTTACAAGATAAATTAATTACCATTCCTCATACATGAAACAAAACCAATCACCACATTAATCACCAATCAAACTTACTACCATACAATTCCAACCAATCTACAAGTTTCCTAACATGATTCTAAGTTTTCCCAGTCCTTAAACATGCTTCTAAAGTCAAGGTTTTTGTATCCTTGTACGTACCTTGAGTAAACGAGTTGGTTGGCCACTTAGGAATTGAACTAGAAATCACCTTCTACGAATTCCTCTCCCAAACCAAACAACAATAGTCCAATCAATACCCAAGCAATTAAATTTACAGCAATACTAACTTACTTTAAAACCTTCAAAATTCAATTAAACAACTCTTTAAAACCTTCCCTTTAATTAAAATCAAAATCTTATATATAGTTCTTTAAGTTTCCTTCATAAAAACCTTAAAATACATACTTATTCATGAAATTACAGCTAGTTTAGAGCTTTATAATTAAAAATATGAAAATTTATTTTACACATGAAATCTTGAAATTATAGAAATCTTTATCACCATACATTATATAGAAAGTTAGTAGACTTTAAACCCAAAAATTCCTCAATTCAATGTAAATAAAGACTCTAAAAACAATAACCAAAAATCTAAAAATTTATTCTTGCAATTAAACTTTAAAGTTTCAAACATTATAATCATAAAATAACCACAACCTTTGTTTAATAAAATTAGAGACTTGAAACACATGAAATCAATACAATTTAAACCCAAGATTAAAACTTTAATAATCTAAAAATTTATTTTAAACATTAAACCTTCGTTAAAAATCAAAAACTGCCCGAAAACCATATTTAGAGGCTGAATTTGGCCACGAGAGGGTGGTGAACACTACCAAAGGTAGTGAATTGTAATTAAAACATTGTTTACACACAAAAAACATTATTTTATTGTAAAAAAATCGGACGAGTTAGAATATAAACATGATTAAAACGTGATAAAACAAAAGGAGATTAAGAACGGAGATCATAAGTTGATTACGAAAAACTGAAAATTTGTTTTTATGCTTAATTAATCATTATAAATTCAATAGGAACAAAAGCCTCAAATTAAATGATCATTAGAACCCTAAAATCCCAATTTAACTAAATTAAAATCCTAGGTTTAAAATTACAAAATCTGAAAATTAAAACAACAATTATAACCTGAAATTATTAGTTTAAAACATCAAAAACATGATTTTGATAATAAATAAACTAATTTCAAGCAATAAAAACCAAAACCCAAAAATCAATTACATAAGCTTTATGAAAATAATAAGAAATAAAGGAGGAAGAAAATAATACTAACCTTTTTGTGTGGGGGAAAATTTGGGGATTCATGGGGTATTTATAGGAGAGAATTGTAGGGTATAATTGGGCCTCATGAAAATAATGGGTCAATTAAATAAACAAATGGGTTAGACTTTGTTTTTATGATAATGGATTGTAGGATATAGGTTCATAAAATAATTTAGCCTAAAATAATTTTTGACCCAAATTAATAATTTGAAACTTTTAAAATTAAATTCTGGAAAAAATACAAATAAATATTATAAGTAAAATAACATATCATTTAAAAATACGGGGGATTACAGAACGGGACGAAGTCCATCAATCTTCATATGCTCTTGGATGGTGTGAACAACTTTAACACACTCAATTATGACTAAATGAATGTTAGGCTCATAAATATAAGAGAAAATATGAGTTGCATTATCAAAAACATTAAAAACATCACGAACAAAAGAAGCATTAGTCCAATGACTTTCGGTTATTAACTCAGTAGGATCAACACGAGTCTCATTGTAAAGTTGGATAAAAATGTCACGATACTTTATAGCATCATTCAACAAATTGAAAGTAGAATTACAACGGGTAGGGGTATCAATAGACCATTGTCTTTTCTTGACCTCTCTCTTTACACATATCTATGTA